GTGAAATAATCTGTCTGGTTCACCGACACATTACTGACTGTCAGTGCTTCGTTGTCATAGCTGCCTCGCTTGGTCAAACCCATGTGTCGTTTGAAAATGTGCAGCACGGTCTCCTCTGCTGTGGCTGTGGTCACTGAAATTTACATCAGCAATAAAATGTGTTACTGGCATTAGAGGTGGAAAGTAACCAAGTACATTTACTCAACTACTAGACAGTTTTGAGGTACTATAGACTCCACTATATACATTCACTTCACTACATTTCATGGATTATTGTACTTTTTACTCCAAACTTTATGTTTTCTTGTTTCTATTTGTAATGGTGTATTTTTACAAAAGTTAAAGCTTGTGGTATGGCAAAGGAAACTAACTTCCAGTAATGATTCTCCACTTGCGACCCACCTTTTGGGCACGTAGCTTCCATACTGTAGGCATACTGACCACTGACCAGCTTCAAAGCCAAGAATTCCCCTTCATTTTCCATGACCTGAAATAAAGTGAAATTGCTGTAATATTGCCAGTGGTCACTAGACGGCAGTATGCTGTTTGAGGTTTCTTACTTTGAAAGAGCTCATGACCTCCCTCCTCCTGCCTTGAACTGTAATGTCTCGTCCACTCGTGTCAATGTTCATCTGGATCAGGCTGGCATCCTCCAGAGCTACAATGAGGTGGTCGCTCAGAGACAGTGACCAGTGCAGCTGTAATGCGTAACCGAATATGCAAACACAAAAACAGTCAGACAGATCCCCGCTAGCTGAATTCATGATAGTATTGATTTCAGTTACCTACTTCCTTATCCCAGTTGTCATAGGGAACTTGTCTGGTCACCTACAACCACATACAAATCTTATCAGACTAAGCAAGCAAAACACCTGGTAAATATGTAGAAAATTAAAGTAGTGTAACGTTGACCTACATACGATAACTCCAGTCAGCAGTTACCTGAATATATTCTGAATCACACTGGATTTGCTCTCTGCTGGGCAGCACAGAAACCACGGGACACTTCATCACAAAACTATGAGGTCTGCCTCCAAATCGATTTATCCTCTTCACCAAATTCAGTGTCAGGATATTGTAGCCGTGCTGAACAATCACCATACAATCAGAGCAGAGTCACCATCAAGCTCAGCTGCAAAGGTCAAATGTCACAGTTTCTGTGCGTGGATTAGATATTTCTTAAAAGTGTGACATACCTGTTGTTGGACATAACATCCAGTGTAACGGACTCTAAAAATAAAGTTCTCGTCAGGGTCTTTGTGCAGTGAGAATCCACAGGCAGACAACTGGAGGTTTAGGTAATCCAGAGATGCAAGGTCGGCTTGTGGAAAGCAAAATCTCATTCATGATACTCATATCTTCATATTTAATTTCAATGGTTTTTTTTTTCTTTTGTTTAAGAAATAATTACCTTGAATCTGTAAGGCCCCAGACATCCAGACTCCCAGCCCTTCAATCCTTGCCCTGTGGATCCACATCTCCATGTATTCAGAAAAACATGCCGCATCTCCTTCTGAAAATGCAAATGCATTTTCTCACATATCCTGTGACAGCACTAGAAACAACTGTAAGTCATTGCTGTATAAAGGCTCACCTGTTAATTTTGTTGTTGGGGTATCAATCCATTCTCTTTTCTGAATGGAAAACACATTCCTTATGATAAAACATTGTAAAACACTGCAAAAAAAAAAAGAAGAAGTTAGAATTGAGCTTATACTTTGAACATGGTTAATAATTGAACTTCCTTTTAAACAACATTATGCTACTCACATAGTTCTAAGTAGGATGCCAAATCTTATCTGATCCATGCCACTTCCAATGACAAAAACTTCTGTGGGCAGTCTGACGATAGCCTATTTGTAGTCTAATGGAGTAATGTCACTGGGGAGGGGAGGAAACAGGTGTGTTTGCTTTGACATATTAATGACAAGTCACAAAGAATGATCACTGTCTCCAAAAGGTTTAAAAGTAGGCTACTTGTAGACCTTCTAATTTGTCAAGGTTTTTGTCATTAAAGATTGTGATAGTGATTTTCTACCTAAACTCCATAATACAAGTTTACGTTCCTTCTCGGCCACTACGCTCCTCCAACGAACGCCACCTGGCTCTGCCATCCCTTCACACAAAGCGATCCCAGTCCCAGCTGTTCTCATCTGTGACCACCACGATGGTGGAACGAGCTACCACAGGCCATCAGAGCAATTTTTGTTAACTCTTACTTCTTTCCCTAGATATTTACCCCATTGTTGCGATATGTACTGTGAGCTCTTACTAGTATTTATTGCTGCTCATACTAGTATGTATTGTCATTTGTAGATCTTGCGCTGTATTTGATGCTTTGTTGATGCCTGTATGATGTTTCTCAAATGTAAGTCGCTTTGGATAAAAGAGTCAAATGAGTAAATGTAAATGTAAATGTGATCATGAATTAACCCTTTAGCTTTAGAATAATCCTATGCTACAGTATCACATATTTGCGGTGTCACCTTGTTCCAATCTGTTCATTTAAAATAGAGAAATTTTCAGACCAGATGGTCACTAATGTTTTTTTTTAATTACTGAATCATTCCATCAAATACAAATATTCTAGATTTCTTCCACATGTCCAGTTCATCCTGACATGTTTGGTATTTTTTTGGAAACTTTGGGATTGCCACTAAAATTTTGGGTTAAGGGATGATACAAAACTAGAAAGTTAATGTGGATAGGAGTTGATCAGGTCACTGTTAATATTCACAAAAATAAACATTGTTGTGGGTTAGAACGATATTTGGCTGCACAGAATAAGTTTGTAATGGCTCTACAACTGGTGGGTCAGTTGTTTGCATTCTCACCTTCAGATACATTATAACAAAGATCATTTTAGCCCAGTTCGACATAGCATAATCATATTTCATCATAATCATATTCTCATGAAAATATCTGAAAAAGTAAACCAATAAGTTAAAAAGATAGATATATAGCCTACAGCGGTGTGAAACGACTTTTCACATAACACATGGTTGACTGGCACTCAATAGAATTTCACAGCGCATAACGTTGTTTGGGCTTTCAAGGTGAATCGTTATGATTACACTTCAAAGGGTAAATCCTGAGCTTTAATCGTTGCCCATTACAAGTTATGTAACACAACAAGATGAATGAAGTTAACCACATCATGTTTAAGACAAGCTAATACAAAAATTAACCGAGAATGGGTAGTCTGAAGTGAAAATATTACTAAATGTTTTAATTTTAACTTCTGGCATCCCTACAAATTTTAAAAGTGTGCCCTCCCAACTACATGATGTCATCGCAACATGACGCGCAGCGCAGCCATTTTGTTAGCTAGCTTGAGGTTGGAGCCGTTAGCCGTGTAGTGCTGCAAATATTCACTGTTGTCTGACGATTTTGTACTTAGGTTTCACCGAGAAATATAACGTGTCGATGTTTTTATTTACGTACAAGTTTCGGCTACACGCTCGTATATAAAAGGAGGACGCGTGTATTTGTTGACAGTAAGCACAGCGCGAATCTGGATGGTCATTCATTTTTCAAGCCGTCTGAGGTTTGCTAGCTTGTTAGCTAGCTGGCTAACTCGTTTACGCGTGTTATCAGCAGAGGGGAACATACAGAGTATTGAAGGCCCCAAAGGTATTAAATGTTACAGAGCTGTGGAGTGAGTGTTAGCGTTTCACACAGTTTGTCTGTCTGCGTTTGACTGCTCTTGCATTTTAGTTGCGTCACATAGGAACAGAAATAAACTTCAGCCGGAGTCGACACTGCTAACTCGCGTGCATCATTCTGTTATTTACTGGTAACTTGAGCTTCATCCGCTGATTTCACTCAGACCAGCGCTCAAGCTATTCAGAGACCATGTCAGAGTTGTATATTCGTGTGGCTGAGGATGAAAACGAAGAGCCCATGGAGATCCCCTCAGAGGACGATGGTACTATTTTGCTGTCCTCGGTAGCAGCGCAGTTTCCAGGGGCGTGCGGGCTGCGGTACAGGAACCCGGAGTCCCAGTGCATGAGGGGAGTCCGGCTTGTGGAGGGTGTCCTGCATGCACCTGAGAACGACTGGGGAAACTTGGTCTACGTCGTCAATTACCCTAAAGGTGAGGCAGATGTTCGTGTAGATGATTTTTGCTTTTACGTTTTCACCAAACGCAAGAGGTAAACCCTGTCCACAAACACTTAGTTGCCAGTTTATTAAGAACTCGTAGCTACAATAACAATATCTGTATTAACTCCTAACGTTTAGGAAGGTTATAATGTTAGGTTTTTGTTGAAACTGAGGTTTTGATTCAACTTGTTGCCATTCTGTTGCTGATGAGTTGCTTTGCCTAACACAGAAGTGTTTCTAATATTAAGCCTGTCGTCATTGTTATAAATAACATGGTCAAAATATTGGGAACACCTCAATATGGTGCAATCCAATGAACAACAAATAACCATATAGTAGGATCAGCATCAGTGCTTGTTGTGTTAGTCTGTATTTATTTGAGCTAGAAGTACTTAATAAATTGGCAACAGAGAAATGCTAATGCTCCATCACGCAATAACTTTGTAGACCTTTCCGTTCTTCCATCTTTTGTGGCAACAGGTAAGGCCCTTTACTGTTTTGATATGACAATTACCGTCTGCATAAAGACATTTTTAGCAGGTGTGGAAGATCTCAACTGGCCTGCACAGCATCCTCACCTCAACCCTCAAACAACTTTAGGATGAACTGGATTGAGCAAGGCCTTATTGCTCAGCATCAGTGCCTGACTTTGCTAATGCACTTGTGGCTGAATGGGAACAAATGCCTGCCCTTAATACAGGTTCCAAAGTCTTGTGGATATCCTTCACAGAAGAGTGGTTGCTGTTATCGCAGCATATTAATGTGCATGGGTCAGGGGGTCAATGTTTGACCCTTCTCCTCGGTTAATGGAGATTTGTATTTGCATGTGATTGGCTCCATATGTGACCTGATATAAATTTATACTTCACAGATAACAAAAGGAAGATGGAAGAAATAGACGCCGCCTCAGCTGTGAAAGTAAAAAGGGGCTTTCAGAAGACATCAGATCTCATTGTCCTCGGGCTGCCGTGGAAAACAACAGAGCAAGACCTGAAAGATTATTTCACTACCTTTGGGGAGGTCATCATGGTGCAGGTAGTGATGTCTCGCCTGAATGTTTCTTTGTTAGGCTTAGAGTGTAATAAGGATATCTTGTTATGTTTCTGGTTTAGTTAAAATTGGTAATAAAGCTGGCATTTCCTCTTTATTCATTCTAGGTCAAGAGAGATGCAAAGACTGGTAACTCAAAAGGGTTTGGGTTTGTCCGGTTCACTGAATATGAGACACAAACGAAAGTGATTGCTCAGAGACACATGATTGATGGACGATGGTGTGACTGCAAACTTCCCAACTCAAAGGTAGTTTGGGCGTATAGTATAGTCAAAAACCTTTTGGGTCAAGGATTAGTTGATATGAACAATATTGGTGGTCATCTGGATGTCTTCTGTTAGACATTTTTCATCATGTGGATTGCTTAATTTATTGCTGAGCCTCTTTTGTCCTCTCAGGCGTGTCCTGATGAGCCCATGCGGAGCCGTAAAATCTTTGTTGGCCGCTGTACAGAGGACATGACAACTGATGAACTGAGGCAGTACTTCATGCAGTATGGCGAAGTCACTGATGTCTTCATCCCCAAACCTTTCCGGGCATTTGCATTTGTCACGTTTGCAGATGACCAGGTGAGATTCGCTGTAAATGGCAGCAAGTATGATTGTTAGTTGATAGCATAATAATGACTGTAGTGATAATCTTCTCCTCACTTCTTTCTTAGGTCGCCCAAGCCCTGTGTGGAGAGGACTTGATCATCAAGGGCATCAGTGTGCACATCTCCAATGCCGAGCCCAAACACAATAATAGTAGGCAAATGATGGATCGAGGGCGGTTTGGGGCTGGTGGGTTCAGTCAGGGCTATGGCAGTAATCGCGGTGGGCTAGGCAGCAGTAGCGGTGGGGTTAACTTTGGGGCTCTCGGTCTTAACCCAGCAATGGTGGCTGCTGCCCAGGCAGCGCTGCAGAGCAGTTGGGGAATGATGGGCATGCTGGCTAACCAGCAAGGTCTGACTACAACAGCAGGCACAGCCACTACAACCCGAGACCAGACCTATAGCTCTGCAAGCACCAGTTACAGCAGTCCCAGCTCAGCTAGCCTCGGTTGGCCTGCAGGCACTAACACCGCCTCCAGCAGTGGCTTCGGCACTTCTGGCTTTGGCAACTCTATGGAGTCAAAGTCTTCTAGTTGGGGAATGTAGATAGCTTCAAGTTGACCTTTTCTGTTGCTATTAGGCTAATCTGGTAAGTATACATAATACAGCTGGGAACTGCTTATATCTTATGTTCCTATTATTTAAAATACACTGCCTTTTATTTTGTTAAAGAGAAAATGTATACTTGTGTGTGACTGATTATGTAGTCATGCATTGAGTGGGTGAAAAATTTAGTTTTAGTGGAGACTGCCACAATTTTTTTTGTTTGTTTTTAAGAAAGTTATGCAGAGATGATGCATGCAAGATAAATATTTATAAACATGCACGAGTATCTCGAGAGCCCCCACAGCCCCTTGTAAAAATGGGCTTGATATAATTATACATCTTTATACATCTGTATGCAGTTGATTGCATCTTTTTGTTTGTTTTTTGTTTGACATCTTTTGGAAACGCCTTCATGAAAATCTCTTCTGCAGTTCACCAACTCTTTCCCAATTTCCCGGGAGGAAGCGCCTCATTGGCAGCAATGTTCGACAGATCTCAGTATCAATTCCCCTCCTCCCATGTGTAAATGCTTTGTCATCAAAGAACACAGCTTCACTCTGCATATACTGTGTTAGACGGTGGGTGTTGTCTTTTTTTCCTCTCCCCTTTTTATGGATATAAAAATCTTGTCTGCTCTTGTCGCATTTCGAGATCAATGAGTGGGATTGGTGTTGGACCGAGTGCGAGTGAGCGAACGGAAGAGAAAAATGAAAGAAAGCAAGTGTGAGAAGGACTGCTTGTGCACATTTTCTTTTTTTTTTTTTTTTTTTTAAAGAGCCAAATGCCTGCGAGAGTTGAGAAGAACCTGTGGCTTTGTGCGAGTGTGAGAGGAAGAAGCAAGTACGAGTGTGTTCCTAATGGCCATCACAAGGACATTTATTGCATCTCGAGATCCCTAGGGTCTCGGCTTTCTCTCATCGTTTTCTATCACCCTTAATTCTTTAATAACAATGAAATGTCAAGTGCTATGAGTATTTGTATCTTTTCGTAGCTTTCTCTTGCTGTATGATTTGATGTGAATGCTCTGTCTGGTTGTGTGCTTTATTTTCTCCTTGTTACCACCCTCTGTGTGTGAAAATGTGACTGGTGAAGTCTGTGTGGGGGAAAACACTGAAAGTATGTTGAAGTTTGCAAGTGAGCTCAGAGGTTTATGTGGTGAATGTTTGTCAAGTTCCCATTGAAAGTTTGTGTTTGAAGTGGTTTCGAATGCATTTTCTATGTTTTGTGAATCAAAGGGAAGTCTGAAATAAAACTGAATTTGACTAGGTATGATACACTCTTGACAGTGACTTATTTTTGACTTTACATTAATTGAACTGCCAACACTTTAATTCACATGTATAGGGACCTCGGACATGGACAGCCCAGGTTGGAGTCAGTTATGGAGAAGCTGAAGACATTGTTGGGTGGGCCGGCACAAACCAACAATGGAATTGCTGCACGACTGCCTTTATCCTGAAAAGGATCTTCACCTCACTAGCAAGAAACCGCGGACCATCCCTAAATGAAATTTAGAGCGGACCATACTCAATTGGGCTGAGGTATATGTGTATACCTGCAAATGTCACAAATAGGACCAAAGTCACATCTGCAGTTTGGCAGTGATTATACTTATACTCTTTTTCCGAACTTGTGAAACACAAAGCCTGCCTTAAATCTGAAACATGTATGTCCGTAATTGGTTCATTCTTTGTCCTCAATAACAGTCAGTGATAACTTGTGGAAGTGTTGACAGGTAGGCTTCTTTTCAATGTGTTCAGTAAGGCAGGATGTGTTCTTGTTGTTTTGTTTACCTTGATTGTAAAGTGGTTGGAATGTATGAGCTGAGTTTTCAAAGGGACTTTAACAACTGATTGAACATGCCAGCAGGAATTCACACTTTCTGTATTGGAAATATTTTAGTATTGCGGTGTAAAATAAAGGTTTTGAGTTTTTAATCACCTGTCGTCTCTCAATGTAGATAAAGTGTAGATTAATATAAGTATTTTTCTTACTGGACCCCCACCTCAAGCGGTTTATCAGATGTAATTCGGAAGCTCAGATTTAGCCCTTGGTGTAAAATTTGCTAAAAAACGGGTCCTGCACTTTGAAGTGTTGATGCTGGCTGCTTGGAAGGTGTACTTTTAATGTTCTGCCTGTTGATGGCGCTGATGTGCCTTTTTCTTATAGCTTGTGTGAGTCCCAAGTCTCCTTTTAATTATTGAATTATATTCAGAACAGTTTATGTGCTCCTGGAGATTTGTTTGCATTTAGTAGCCCCTAAAACCAATTTCAAGTAAAACACGTCTTCCTGTAGAAAGGCCCTTTAGATGCCCAGTCAAGACTGAAGTATCTTGTAGAACGTTGTATACATGCAAAGCTATAATACATTCCTGCTGGATGTCATCAAGTGCAGATATTGTGAAAAAACACAATAGTAATTTAGGGAATGGGTGTAAAATGTGACATCAGTTGCATCAAGTGTTATGGAAAGAGGAGGTTTTTTTCTCAAAGTATCAGTAATGGAAAATATTGGTATAAAATGATCTGAACTTTGAAAAGTTCAGATCATAAGACCTTTTACATTATTTTCTGTTTCACCAAATTAAATGCTTAATAGGCAGAAATTAAAAATCTAGAAAGACAACAAAAACCTAGTTACCTGAATTTTAAATTTGTGTTGTGTAAGAGACATCGATCAAGTCTTGATCAGTTTTACCTAATTGAAGATCACAGAAAAGATAGCACAGGTCTCTAAAATAATCAAATCTCTGTAATGGCACTGAAATGTCAAACAAGGCTCATTAATTTCCTGCATCACCACACCGACTGTCACAGGGCACACCTTATAGCTGTAGTTTAATTGAAGCTGTTGTGAACTGATGTGCTTTCTCCCACTGTGAGCAGGTTGACAAGTTCTTCCAGAAGAAGTTCTTGCAGGGTGGTATGTCCTGAGAGCAGATGTTTACTTAGGGTCATCTCTGCCAACTTCTCACTAAGGTACTTCCCTGCATCAATGAATCCAAACTGTAGCTGAATCGTTCCTGAAAGCATCTGCTGCAACCAGGGGCGTCACTTTATGTTGAAAAGTGGTGGGGACATTTAAGGGCTCAGATTAGAGTTGTGACAAAACACTTAGCATAGGAGACCTGACAATCCAGAATATTGGGGTCATGAGAACAAGACTAGAAGATTTTTTTAATACTATTAATAATTAATAGAAATATTCGTTGATGAAAATAGAGAAAAGAAAATGATTTTGAGCACTAAACACTTAATTTCCTGCATTCTAGAGACATTTTCTGCACCAATTTATGGTGGAAATGTCTTTATTTATATAAAGAGGAACACAAAATTCAGGTGGCAGGTTACAATTCAGAAAAAATTATAATTAATTTAAAATAATTTAATATAATGGAATAATCAGTAAATTTTTTAACTTAAGTAATTGTTTTGGACAATGCAGATCTGTTTTTTGTATATTTACATCACATTGCATGTTTTCTTAATGTGCCAAAAAAAACTTTCTCCTGGCACTTACATTTGTTATTTAACATTTTTTGTTGCAAGCTATTTTTCAGAACATTTTTAACAAATGATTTCAAAAAGTGATGGGGACATGTGCCCAGCGTCCCCAGTGTAAATGACACCTGTGGCTGCAACTTCCTCTGCTCCTTCTGCAGTTTCTAATGAAAGACAAACTCAGGTTCAACATGTGTTTCAACTCTTTAAAATCTGCAAGTAAGGATGCTGCTGCAGGCAGAGAAGCTTAATTAAGTCTGAATACAGCCACCAGCGCTGTCCATATTTACCCTCCTTTGGGAAACACACAGTCTGGATAGAATCCTCTGTTTAAAGCTGCATGTAAAGTAGAATGTTTAAATTTGTACATGTTATATTCATGTAATACATATATTTCACATATAATATTCTGAAAAGTGAACCTGAGTCTGTGTCACAAAAGGCAACATCATATTTAGTTTGATTCTGATTTACTACAATCCAAAAATAATCACTAGGCATCAAAGCCGGGGCTGAACATAGTCCTCAACAAATGCAGTGTTTACCTCTATTTGAGTTAATTTGACTTTATAGTGCCCAGCTGCTAAAAAAAATAAAGAGTATATATTGATGATCCTCCAATAGGAGCCGAAGGGCTTGGGCATAATTGTTGGTTTTGGTTTTTTGGATTTGTTGACCTTAAGAAATATATAGAATGTTGCCAAATTTATTCTTTAAGCAGAGGTGTAAAGAGAACAAGTTTAATGGTCAATTCACCTACTGTAAGTGTGTTTCTGTCATGCAACAAAGGCCCAACATGTTAAACAACTACAATAAAACTTTGTTGTTCTTGATATTCACTCCATGGTCATTTTGGTTGAATGATGACGTGCGCATCAGAAATCCAGGATGTAGATGGCGTTTGATTTTAATGAAATCCATTTGCATCTGTCGTCCAGTCGTCCTACTGCATCTTCATTACGCATCATCTTACTGTCTGGTGTGGCCTTGCTGCCTGCGTAGTCTGCAGATGACTCAGCGGCCTCATCTTCCACCTGCGCTGGCTTCGCTGAGCTCTAATAGCCTCTTGTGCTCTAAATGCAACCTCCATTTGGCATCAGGCCTCATTAAGAATACAAGGCCTCTAATTGTAGAGAATGTTCTGTCCCTTGGATTAATTAAAGATTAGAGAAAAGAGATAGGAACACTGGACGTTTCTTTTTCATTAACCAGTGGGACGAATCCAAATAACAGAGTAGCAATCACTTGGTAGAGGGCCTCCCTGAGGGCCAGCAGGGTTGAGGCTCACTCTGATAATGGAGCAGCCTGTTCATGGTATTTGAAGTGTATGTAGGTAAGCATAGGAATGACAGTGTTTATATTGTTTGCTCTGCTGTGTTCCCCTTTAGGATCAAAGCTCTGACATGCAGAGTCAAACGGGGGAAGCCTTTGAAGGGTCCCAGGACGGTTGAATAGAAGATAGAAGTGTTACACCTGGCAATCACTAAAGCTATCCCAGCACAGGTGCACAGAGGTGAGGCTTTGTTTACTGTTGAACAGCAGGTGTAATAGCAGCTGTGACACACTACTGTCAGATACAACCTCCCTCACTGCTGCGGGGGTGGAAGCAGCGCTGGTAGCATGTTTATTTCAGCAGGTGACAGTACAGCTGAGAATCCCTAGACAAGGCTTTAGGGAACACAACAGTAAGTATAGTAATAAAAGAGATTCAAGTTTTTATTACATTTTTATTTTGTTTCTTAAAACACGCTCCACTAGAACCTGATCTTTCTATGCCAAACTGATCTTCATCAATGTGAGGATGTTTTCTGATACCAGCCACAGTTTACCTGAATTTTAGTATTACAGTTTCTTTTGTCTTCCTAGGGAATAGTTTGTGTTACATTTTTTTTGATCAAGCAGATGTCATCTAGACCACCTTTTTGGCCTCGTATTTTTTGGGCATGTTATGCCTCTGTGAGACCATCATGTGTAGATAGATGAGAGGAACTATTTCCCATTTAATATAGTTATTGTGTATTGAGACAGGTCTACACTCAGTATAGATGAGGACAAAGCAACGCCTGTACAATTTACCTGTCTTTATTTTTAGCGTTCAGTTTTTGTTGAGACTGTCTCTAATTATATGGTAATTTTGAGGCCGTCTTTGTCTTACAATATAATTCAATACAATACTGCAGCCTCAGAACTTACTAGAGTTGAATCAGAATGTCTCTGGCAAAATAGATTTTCTCGATTGCTTAAACACATTTCTTGAAATTATACCTCTTTTTCTCAAAACTCTAAACACAAATCCACAACTTCTTACCTAATTCTCCAAACATCCTATTTTCAGATCAAAATGAAGCTCTCCACTCAAAACCATTCAATCTTGCTGAAAAACTAAACTTTGCCCTCTGACATGACACACAAGCCCTCAAAAACACACACACTACAACAGTCTTACACACTGGTGAGATAATATCAAATCAATACTACAAAAACTGGTTATTACTTATGTTGCTTGTGATTCTCCCCCTCAAAAATCTTTTCACATGATGAACACAAAAGAAATAACAAATGTAAACATTTGCAAATTTTTTTTCCTTAGTGTGCTGTACAACACAACACACCAAACAACAAATTATTCTGCCCCAGCGTCCTGCCTTTGGTCTGGGACAGGCCAGAGATTCTCGTTCTCCACCTCCCTCCTACTCTAATCTACTCCTCTGCCTCCTCATCTTCCTCCTATCCCATCTCCTCCTTCAACTCCTCCTCCTCCTTCTCCTATCTGGTATCCTCTACCTCTTCCTTCACATTTCTCTGCATCCATTGTTCCAAAACTGAATTTTGACTGTTTCCACCTGGGTAGCTGTGTACTAATTGAGCCCAAGCTGTGCTGACTTGAGTACTGAATGTCAGTGGTTTCTGAATGACCACATGGTGCAGGCAATGAGAAATGAAGGGATTTGTGTGTAGAGTTTAGGAAAATGGGTGGGCTCAATTTGAAAAATGGAGTTATGGTTCTGAAATTTTTGTTCAAAAGCCTGATAATAGTGTTTAAGCAATTGAGAAAAACTGTAAAACTCAGTTTCACTCATAACCTGTTGTTTTGTGACAAAATAAATCTACCCAGCTAAACAATGCGTTAGTATCTTAGCGCCACCTGCTGGAAGTCAGTAAAAGGACAAGACATCAAATGGTCTAGTATACATTTCACTAAAGGGCCCATTACCAGCAAGGTTGTGTTTAGGGTTCTCTTTGTTAGTTGTATAGATCACAAAGCTACACATTGCTTGGCTCTGCAAATTTAAACACCCGGCCATCATTCAGACAGGCCCTCAAACCCACCTTTTCAAACTTGCATTCCCCTTCTCTCCCCTCCCTTTTTTAACCAACTACATTTTTCTATTTCTCCCTGTAAGCATCTTTGAGTAGTTAGAAAATCACTATATAAGTATAGTTTTATTATTATTAAACATGAAGATATTTCAGTCACTGAAGTAACCAATTTATTGGATTGTGCTGTCTCAGTAGGGTTGTGCACTTTCTAGCTTGTGTAATGATTATCATATATTCATTGTTTATATATCCACACTTCAGACATGTATTAATGCCATCTAAATAGGCCAGTGGCTCAACATGTCCGTCTTCTAGACAGGTTACTATCACTTGTTGCTTAATTTAGTGCTACACACAAACATCTCAATCCGGTTTACATCACCCAGTTAAGGACCACACAAGCTAATTATAAAGGGATTTAAGTCTTTATTTAGTCCAATACAGTTCAACGCTTCACATTAATCCAGCGTTAACAACGTGAACCCTGGGCCCAACATGACTGGTGAACATCAGTTTGATGGCCAGCATAATATCAATAGCAACCAAATAGACTTTCTTGTTCCCCCTATTGTGACTGTGATGAAGTTCAGATACACCAAAACACTGGGTGTAGAGTTTACAATACACTTAATCTACAATATTCCTTATTGATAAATAAAACTGCAACAAGTCTTTGAGGGGAGTAAAAAATTGAATTAAAGGTGACTGTTGGGGCAGGAGGCTCTAAATAGTCAGGCATCGTTTTAAAGTTGGAATGTGTAAAATTTCACTTGTGTCTCTCTCTCCCTCTCTCTCCCTCTCTCTCCCTCTCTCTCCCTCTCTCTCCCTCTCCCTCTCTCTCTCGTTTGTGTTTTTGAGTGATGTGAAGATGGTCCTTAAGCATTGTAGGATGAAGAGGAGACATTTCCACCGTGGCCCGTCCAGTTGGTGTGGATGAAATGACCGGGGTTTGACAGCAGTTCATATGTGTGGGCTCCAAAGTAGTCCCTCTGGGCCTAAAAAACAAAAAGAAAAATCATCAACAACCTCTGACACTCAAATATCACTTTCAAATAGGAATGCTACTATTAACTACAGTTAACTACTACAAACAGATATTCAATCTACAATGATTGAAACAAGGGGGAAGCAGCAGTCCTCACATTTAAAACCAGTGGTATTTGTGTGAAATTAATAAAAGTTTCAGTGCTATATTTAAATACTGATGAAGTTCGAGAGTCCAAAGACAGATGAGTAAATTAGTAACAAACACACCATATGCAGTTGGGGTCTTGATGATCATGATCGTTATAGGCCAATATGCCTCCACACTCACAGTGGGCTCTGCAGCATCAACTATCTTACCTGGAGGAGGTTGGCTGGCAGCATTTCATGTCTGTAGCCATCATAGAAGGACAGAGCTGTGGTGAAACAGGGCATAGGGATGCCATGCTGGACTCCAGTGCTGACTGTTCGGCGCCATGACTCCTAAACAAAGAGATTGAACATGTTAACAAAAGTTTTTGGTTCGCGGAACGAATGTAATTTGGTGTCAACATGTGATGCCAAGAACAAGAGGTCTTCACGAGGCCAGTCAATCCCTGGTAACCAAAACCCAATTTGAGCCAGGTCCAAATTATATTTCAGTCCAATCAAGTCAGGGAGAGTTTGCCTGCCATGGGTCTCAGGAAACTATGTACCAGGTGGACCTGAGCGCACTATGAGCTTTTTGCGGAGAAGATGGAAAGCTTGAATTGTGAAGTGCACAGAAAAATCACATCTTGCTGCTTTTGGCACGGCTGCTTGTTAATTAATCGTGCCACCAGTGTTGGTGTTTTCTCTCTGTTTTGGACGAATTATTTCGTTGGGTTCAGGTAGGCCAGTTAATAGAAGACTTTAACAACTCTTGAGTAGTCCCAGAAGACAATTTGGATGACGCATAAGCAAAGAATAAATCCACCGTGTCTTTTAACAATACAATGTACAAGGAAACACCTTCAGTTTGAAGACAGACAAAACAGCATCTCAATAGTAGACCGGGAATTGGTACTGTTCACTCCTTTCTTCATAGAGGGAAGAGGAAATAACTTTTTTGTGTGTGTGTCTTTCAGTGTGGCCACTTCTCCTTCCTCATACCTGACAGTCCTGCACAGCATTACTGAAGAAATTGTCCAGCAGCAAGTTCTGCAGCTCTGCGTCCCTGTCAAACGCTTCTTTGATTTTACCCAGGAAGACACTGGCGGGGAGAGGAAAGGGCCGTGTTAGGCAACAGTGGTAACAAAGAAAAGGAAAGATTTTGCTCATAGTGGTTTCATTAGATAACTGAAAAAATTAATTAAAAAATAATTTACATAACTAAGTTTCAATTCAAGCAAGCAGAACGCCCTTCTCACAATGCACAGGTTGAGTGGTGGCTACACACTGCAACTCATACCGAGTGTTATGTTTGATTTAGGTTTATGCAATGTCTTTGCCAGATTACACAAAGCAAACCAGTGTCACAACCATAGTTTCCTCATTTGTCTCTCAGTCTGATTTTACTGGAAGGGTCATACTTTCTTTCATCTACATTTCTCCCTCCAGCATTACACACAGGGCAGTGACAAAACAGAGTTAACAACTTCCTTTATGGCTCTACATTAAGACGCATCCCTCTTTACCCTGATCTACAATTAAAAATCCTAAACTTTATAAAACCTTACAAAGTGAATTACACCAACACCTACAAAAAAGGACTTCTCCATTTGAATCTTCTTGTTTTCTCAAGAAGTTGTCTCTTACACTGCCTTACCACAGTTTTCGCCATCAATGTGAAAGATGCCTGTTGACATAAACGTTGCACAAGAAAGCGGCAGTGAGGCAAACCTGTGTTATGAGGACACAGGAGGTTAAATGTACCTGCGGATGATGCAGCCTCCTCTCCACATCAGAGCAATCCCGCCGTAGTTCAGGGACCAGCTGAACTCTTTGGCTGACTGCCGCAGCAGCATGAAGCCCTGGGCGTAGGAAATGATCTTGGAGGCGTAAAGGGCCTGGAAAAGATATTTTTATCGATTTATCCTGATATAGTAACAACATTTGAAATGTATATATAAGCAGCTGAAACTTGTTGGTTGGCAGTGTGCTTGAAAAATCGTAACTGTAAACTGGGAGCATCAATGTTTCAACAAAAATTAACCTTTGAGGGTGGGATTTACTTCAAGATGTATTAGTGTGCATGAGTTTTAGCTAGGTGTACCTAGTAAACTGGCAAATAAGTGTGTACTATACTGTGTGTTCTACCTTTCTAATGTCCTCCAGGAAGGCAGCCTTGTCACCACTGAATTTCACCCCCTGAGGCCCTGAAAGGCTGCGGCTGGCCTCCACTCTCTCATCCTTCAGAGAGGACAGGCATCTGGCAAAGACAGCCTCCCCTGAGAGGGACAAAAAGGTTAGCTCTCTGCACACGTCACACAAAAACAACAGAGCTCTCCAAACACCATAAACCGTCATTTCGTGACTCACAATGAATGATTACACTGGTTATTCTAGCCAGCACCATGCCACAGAAACACTATGCCAACACAAAGGCAATGACCTGCATGACTCAGCAGTAGTAATATGACTACTGTCAAAGCAGACCTTGCCTCTACTACTTTAGAAAAAAAAAAGAAAGCAAGAAAAACAAACAAACAAGGGATTGCCAGTTGGCACGTTAAAAATGATCTTGCCATTGTATCAACTTAAGAGTTGAGTAAGCATGACTTGCGAAAAACTGCAGGCAGAGAGACAGGCAGACAGAGAGGGACTGAGTTCACTCACTGACTGTGTCCAGTGAGTGAACTATCCTGGTGAGGAATGTTATCCCTGTTGGTGGCAGAAATGCACCCATGCAAACATTACCGGCCTGTCAGCCTGCGCCACACAGACACAATGAAGCTTTTTGTACTGCCTCGATTTTTCCTCTCTCACAAGAGGATCAACAGGACTGAGTAGGGATTTTGCGACACGCATGTTTCTGCTTGTTCTTTTACTTTAGGTTTATCATGCATGTCCCTTTAATTCATTCTTAAACAAACAAAAAATAAATAGGTGTCTGTCTAGAAGAGTACCCACTCTGCGCTCTCTCTCTCTCTCTCTCTCCCCCCCCCCCCCCAACAAGACTGTTATCCAGTCAGAGCACCATACAGTACCACAAATCCCCCTTATGTCACTTGAGATGAGCAGGCCACATGAAAAGCCTTCAATCTACTTAGTGGCAGCCACATATTGATCGCGTTCCTTAGAAGAAGCTCACTGGCCACGCTGCGTGTCAGCTAACTGGGAAAGCTAAACATTAGCAAACAACTCTGCTCATTGGGCCCTACTACCCTTTAATTTGTTGAAGTTGTGTTGAAATCCTAATAGGTGTGACATAATGCCTTTGCCATGTCATCATGACCAACACTGTTTAGCGAAAACAGCCAGCACTGGAAAAGGAGAGAAGGAAACCGGATACTTCCTTGTCTAGAACCACCTTTCTTCCTCTTACCGATCAAAGTGACAGGAGTGCCGTACTCCAAGGCCGAAATGGCCGTCCACTTCCCCGTGCCTTTCTGTCCAGCGCTGTCGCGGATCTTGGGCAGCAGATGTGTACCATCAGAGTCCCTGTATTTAAAAATGCTGGCCGTGATCTCGATCAGGAAGGAGTCCAACTCTGTCTTGTTCCAGTTGTCAAAAGCCTGAGTGGTTCAACCACAGTGCGATGAAACACAGTCAGACACAGTCAGTCACACTGCCGCCCCCCCCCCCCTTTCATTATACAGATCTGGCATGATAATACTGAAAATGACATCATACCTGTGCCATTTCATCGTGGTCCATACCCAGAACATCCTTCATCAGGTGATAGGCTTCACAAATCAGCTGCATGTCGCCATACTCAATGCCATTGTGGACCATTTTAACAAAATGACCTGCGCCCTCATCTCCAACCTGCAGAAGCAAAGGCAGTCACGTTGTTGTGAGATGACCGGACAACAACAACTGCTTCAACCTATCAGTGCTACATTATTTAAATAAAAAAAATATAAAAAAAACGCCACTCACCCAGTCACAACAAGGTTCTCCTGTTCCAACCTTGGCAGCAATGCTCTGGAAGATGTCTTTTATATGTGGCCTTAATAAAAAGGAAAAAAAAATTAGTTCAAATTGACTTAATGGTACAGGATGAGCCAATCTTCACAAAACAGAGATATTCACAGTTTTAAAAGTCTTAAGTGCCACATGTGTCAAACTTTCTCTTAAGTAACTTTTTGTTTTAGCATGTCTGCCCCACATCCAACATCTAGCTAAAAGTGCAAGTGCAACACCAAGTTTGTAATAACTCACCAGGCCTCTTTATGTCCTCCCGGCATGAGTGATGGTCCATAACGTGCCCCTTCCTCTCCACCACTGACTCCACTGCCGACAAACAGCAAGCCCTTCTCTTTCAGGGTCTGGCACCGCCGCTGTACGACAGAAACGCATAAGTACTATGAGAATATCCCTCAAACAGAAATAAAGATTTAACGCTAAACAGTGATCCTCTACGACTTACTGTCGTGTCTCTGTATTCAGAGTTGCCGCCGTCGATGATGATATCTCCCTTCTCAAGAAGAGGAACCTGAAGAAGAACAAATGCAGCACAAACCAATTGATTTAACTAGTTAGGACTCTATTTTCCCACAAAGGACTTTAAACACAGATCAGCACAAACTACCAACCAGTTTGTCAATGAAGTCATCCACAGCCTGTCCAGCCTTGACCAACAGGATGATCCTCCTGGGCTTCTTCAGCTTGGTCACCATGTCCTCCAGAGACTCTGCTCCAATCACATTGGAGCCCTTGGCCTCATTCTGCAGGAAGTCGTGCACCTTGGACACAGTGCGGTTGTAAGCGCAGACCTGTCGGACAGGTGAAATAGATTAAGTGAAATAAAAGAAGGCCAGTGTAACTAGTTTTACTGCCAGGAGATGTGGAAATCAACACAGAAGCTATCATCTTACCACAAAGCCATGATCATTCATGTTCATGATGAGGTTTTGGCCCATGACAGCCAAACCAATCAGTGCAATGTCTGCTCTGTGAGGAGAGTCATAATCACATTTACTAATGGGCATCTGGTCACAGGCTGGACAACAACAAGGACTTGATAATAAAACTGTTAATAATAACTGTGTGCTAATTATATATTTCTATAATGTGTCTTGAGCCCATGTTTTATATTTTACTAAAAGGAAATGAAAACATGGTTTAAAAGTCACAAACTTGTGATTTCTAACCTACCAGTCATTAACCAGGGTCCACAGCAGCTACTATATATGCCGCTAAATGTCACATACATTTCTACTAAACACTAAAGCGGGTTAGCTAACAGGCTAACAGCTCCATCCACTAAACTAAATGAGAAAAATGACCCCTCAGCAAATCAGATAAAAACGACTACAAAGTCTACACTCATTTAACAGCCGCGACCTTTCAACTTCACCGAATATCTAAGTAAGTACAAAGTCATTTGGGAACTTACTTAGCCATAGTGCTCAGCGGGTAGAGTAACCGTGAAGAAACAGGAGTCCAAATGACAGCCGGGCTCACACACCAGTCCACTTCACTTCAGGTTTCTTCCTTACTCGTTTTTCACTTCCTTATTCCCTTTTCAACATGACGACGGCGAGCAGAAGCCACGTATCCATCCAATCAGATTACGTGCAGCAAACTGAAGCGATGTCTTTTTCGAATTCTGATTGGTCCAGGATCCTAAGCAGAGGGTATCCGTTCTCCTATTGGCTTCACCGGCAGTCAGTCATTTCACGTGAACGCACACCCACAAGTGAACGGAGGGCGTTTATTCTACATATTACATACTGAATACATTTAGCAGTGGTGGAAATTAACGTTACATTTATAAGTTCATTGGCAAGTACTGTACTTAAGTACAATTGTCAGGTGCTTGCACTTTACTTTAGTATTTCCATTTGCTGCTACTTGTAAATTCTACTTCACTACATTTCAGACAGACATTTACTAGCCTAAACTCACTAAATTAGTTACTTGTCAGATTAAGGTAGAATTTTACATTAAAACATAAGTAAAGCGTAAAAGGTACAAGGTATAGCTAAAGATAAAACCAGTCGCTTTTTGTCTGCTGCTCTCACATGAATAATTTCACAACCCTCCATTTGTTACTTAAACTGTGAAACATCAGTATCAATTTTATAATGTCATATATAATGATGTCAGAAATCAAATATATCAGTCAAGTGTCAACAAGTGCTTTTACTTTTGCTGCTTTAAAAACAGTTTGCTTTTAGTACTTGCATTGTATTGTACTTGTACTAGTAGTATTTCTTCTTTTTTTTCCTTCTTTTTTGATGGGATTTGTTGCCTAGCAGCTTCAAGCCCATCTGACCACCTACCCCCAAACATTTTACATGTACAGTAGTACTAGTGTTAGCTGAGACTTCTCCACTGACTGCTGAATAGACATAGTAGGATTTTAAATCAATGACCTTTACTTGTGGAGAATTTTAAAAATGTTGTATTGGGACTTTCAGTTATACAAAAGGATCTGAGTTTTTCTTCCAACACTGAAATTTACAGTACTAAAGTAATTATTTACCTGAATTTGGAGGCCCTGTGTTGGAGAGAGGTCCTCGTTTCCAAATCTTCCACCTTGATTATTTTAATTTTGAGCTGAAATGTTGCAATACTCCTCAATTCATTTACGTTTGTTCCAGTTACCACGTGCCAAGAGTGGGAGAAACCTGAAGTTAATCAGGACATAGCAGCAGGCTAATCCAACCATGGCTATATAATGCAAATTAATACACAATTAGTTGTGCTTATTTCCTCCTGATAAAAAAGGTATTATGTGTAATAAAGTGTAATTTATCCTCCCCAGTAGTGGTCGTCCACTTATACTGAGAGTACGTCTTTTTTTTTTTTATACGCAGAATGGGAGTTCACACAGCTATTACACCGTGCCTAATTTGTTCTTCTAATTACTGGACATATTTGGCAGATCATAGGAACATTACTGCACTAAACCCCTTTCTTGTCAGACTGTCTTTACATGCATGAGAGGCAGGGAGGAGGTGCAATTAATCCAGTACCATTTGAATCAAATTTCTTCCCGTGCTATGAAAATGTTCAGAGAAGAAGTCAAAATTATGACCATCTCTGAATTATGACTTCTTGTGTTAAGTTTGACTTAACCAGTAAATCTTATCTTCTGTGACACACAAATATCATGAATTTGTAACATGTAAAAAAGTGAAGATGGAAGTCAAACTGTGCACAAAGGATATACAAACAGGCAGCACTTGTTTTGCTAATGCACAGTTTGCACTTTTTATTGTTGCCTCATTCACTAAACAGTTCAATTGTGCAATATTACCATACACAGAATTAGGATATCTGCATGACACATCTATGCTATACAGCGAATGGATTATAATTATTACAAATACAGTAAACATATTTACATTTTAATTCAAGCTCCATACAACACAGATATTTACAAAATAAGTATGAAAATGAAACCAGTCTGACAAATAATGTACAGCGTTAATGTCATGGTTTGTCTTTTCTTTTGGTGAGCAAATCCAAAGGGAACGCAGTTAACTGATATTAATTGTCAGAGGGAAAGATGGAAAATATAATGGCTAGTTTTTGTTTGAAAGGCATCAACGGAAAAAAAACAAAAAAACAGTGTTGAGGTGAAGAAAGACACCAGCACAACAATAGTATACTGTCATTTTAGATGTCACTAGCTACTCTGTGTTATATTCCCTGATATTAGAAAAAATAAAATGAGTTCAAAACCACCCTTGTTTTGTCATAATTCAAGTGGCTGGCTAAGCATGAGTAATGAGTAAATATTCTTCAATTCAAAAGCAGAATTCCACTCAAACCACCTTCTCATAAAGAGGAAACACTAATGTAACTCACCTCCCATGGAAAAGGAAAAAAAAAAACAGTGGGTTACATTTTAGTTCTCTTTGTTTTTAACGATGGATAAACACACACCTTCATAGTACATTCAACGCTCTCCCAGTTCAGGCTGAAAGAGGCTGCCATGCCATCATTTGGTTCATTCTGAGTAGAACAACTAAACCGCACAGACTTTATTTGATCAGTTAGTTGAACCTTTATTTTTATTGATATGTGCAAAGAGCTGCAAACTAATATGTACATTGCAAACAATAAATACACAATCCAAAATAATAAACCTCTGCAAATTAGTCACTGGAGTGAAAATGTTTGCTCTGACAGGTATTTGTATCGATATGCATCTCACACACATTGTGAGGTACACTGCACTTCCAACCTTGATCAGTGCGCACAGATGGTTTATCATTATAATTTTTTAACATGTCTTGGTTCCTCGACAGACAAAACATTTTCTCAGAAACAATTCCATCAGGTTTTTGTTTCTCTGACCAGCAGGTTGGCTGACCTGAGGGCAGCGACGCTCTGTAATTTAATTAATTATTCTGACTTCTGAGGCAAATGTTTTCTGTCTTTCCATCAGCAAACAATAGAAAGAAAAAGACATACCACCAATTATTTTTTTGTCACAGGCGATGGCGACCTCTGTTTCAATACATTTAATCCTGATGTCCCTTTTACATGATACACTAGGCTTACTACTGGTTGGTTGGCCAGAGTTTTTAACGCCCATCTGTATTTATCACATTTGTACCATTTGTAGAGACAGAGACGCCAAAAAATGTCATAACTTACCAAGGAGCCAAATATAGCAGCTGTGGTGCGATGTACAGAGCAAATATTTTCATAAACAATATCAGAAATAAAATCTTTTGAGTATATGTCGTCCCTTTAATATCACTTCTTTCTTTCTTTCTAGTAAACCTTTCGAGAAACAGCTATCCAGTGTAGCCTTGATATGTGCTCTTGTGAGTGTTCCTGATACTAGAAGTAACCTTGGTCTTAACACGCGTGATCTGCCCTCGTCTTGCCATAGATATGTGTTCATGTGCAAAATAAGGTTAAACACCAATATCATTGGTTAGAACTTAAGAAATAAATGCCCTCTGTTATATTTCATATAAAACTTCACTATGGAATGATTAAAAGCATAATAGAAAAAAACAATCAACAATGTTAATAATTTAAAATAAAAAACAATGTCAACCCAATGAGAGTTAGATGAGTTAAGAGGTTTCAATTCAAGAACGCAAACAGAAAAGGAACACATGGTAACCTGTGGTGCTGCGGAACAGGAAGTACTTCACTTTAGAGATTTCTTTTACCTGACACCATCGTGACAGTGAGGGGAGTCATGGGGTAGACATCATCTGTCCTGCAGGCTGTGAACTAGCAGATTTATCAATTAACTACTTGTGTCAAGGCTAGAGCATTGCAACTTCATTCTCTTTCTTACTTCCTCTTACTCCCGTTTCACCATGTTCTGTTTTGTCTTCATTATCGCGTGATTTAACAAAACATCAGCAAATGTCGAGGCTCTCTTGAGGTCTGAAGCTCGACACGTTGGCGTAAGAAGAAACTGCTAATAGCTGAGAGGAATGTCTTAAATGAGAGTTAACTACCACACTGATCCCAGGACAGACTGTATGTACAAATCATACTGTCCATCTTCCTCCTCCTCCTCCTCCTCCTCCTCTCCTCGATACCCTGTTTTTTTTTCTTCTTGAGATGAAATAGCAAAAGGACAGGGACAAATATCTAGTACTACAGGAACAATCCATTGTCATGTTTTCACTGCTGAGATAAAATCTTCACATATTTTTGCATGTTTCTTCAGTTAGCATGTATTTTTGATGTTGACACAAATGCATGATTTTAAGTAATCACTCATGGACTGACTGACGGGCTCTCTATCAGGGTGGGAGTTGGTGTATGTACACGGACTGAGGAGTAGGATCTAAATATCACACAGATGACAGTGGAAATCCAGTGCTGCCCTCGTGTCTCGCTGATTTGGAACTAATTTTTCAGACTTAACATTTTTGTTTCTAAAGGCCGTTTAGGTGACTAGAGGGGGAACAAGAGGCAGCGGCCCGACCTCATGGTGAGAAGGAAAACCTATGAATTCATTAGCAGCAATATATCTTGAAGTAGCCTTGCTTTCTGCAGCAGAATGTAAACTGATACGTCACTTGGAGATATTTGTATATTTTCCCTTCATGGTTTCAAGGTTATCTGATTTGTTAGAATTTTATTTATTTATTTTTTTTGAGTAAGCAAACCTGCTCTTCTCCTGAGGACTGCTGCGGTTATCATGCAGGCATATAAAAAAAAAGAAAAAAGAAAAAAAAAAAAAAGAACAACCTAATAATAAAATAAAACTCTTCACGAGAGACAAATAACACTGATAGAGACTTTTTTTTTTTTTTTTTTTTTTTTTTTTTTACAGATGATTGGCAAACTGAAAATTAGTGGCCAGAAAGAACAGTTTCTGAAGAATCGTGCACACACACGTAGACCATTACAACATGCTACTAGTTAGGGAGACGGGGAATGACAACAAAGCGGAACAAAATCAGACCCAAACATTGTCATAAAAACAAAAACACAAAAAGCTGAGGAGGAGGAGGATAGGAGGAGAAATAGAGAGGAGGAAAGCTAAGTTGGCAGAGGGTTGTTGGAGGGAGAGAGGGGAGGCAAATTTCTCTGGAACTGAAACTTTTAGTCGCATGAAAGGAGACTTAAGCCACAAGTCTACTTACAAGAGAAAACCGTCAAGAATCACAATGATTAATAAGTGTTAACACTCGTTATGTTCAAAGGCTTTCCAGAAAGAGTGGAAGCCGTGGTTTCCTGCGTGCCCGGTCAACTCACTCAGTTCTTCATTAGACCGCTGCGCCTCCTTGCCAGCTTAGATCTGTGGGAACAGGATTTCACGTTTTGATGACATGAGAATGT